TTGGTGTATGGTACTCGGAAAATTCAAGCATGTTCCTAGATGTGCGAGCAAAGGCCAAAGATGTTATCTACATGCAAGCTGGAGAAGCTTTTCAATTTTTTATTTGGAGTTTGAATACTTTGCAGGCTCGAAATTCATTTCTCGGATGCACCCAACCTAAAAAATTTTGTGCACAAAAAAGTTTTTGAGTGCACCATATAAGTAGAATATCAGCAAAAACTAATTATGTTTCATTTCCAAATAAATGTTCTATAACAATGATTTTTTAAATTTTTTTACCCTTAGATATAAAGAATATGCTGTATACTACTGTTCATTTAGCATCTTTACATACCTAAGAAAATATTGGAGTGCCAAAAATTGGGTGCGTAGCTCCAAATTTGGGTGCACTAAGGTGCACATGCACCCAGTATTTCCAGCCCTGATTTGCTAGGGCGTGTACAGTGTATTGCATCAGACTGAGATGATCATTGAGGTACAGCATTTTGGGGTGAACGTTCTTAAGGTCATTCACGTACACCGTGTAATGCAGGGCTGGAAACACCATGCCACTTGTAAAACCTCTGCTTGGAGAGAGACGTTTCTTACCTTGGTTGGTTTAATGTCACTCATTGGTCCAAAAATCTGTTTCAACTTGTTATAATATATGAACTAAGAATTTTTCCACTAGCAGTTTGATTTCATGAAAGCTTGCTGTAAGATCTTCGGTTACAAAAGCTCTGCTTTCGATGGTCAGATTTCAGCTGTTTCAACTGGACTTCCTGTGGACTTTTGAAATTTTCACCAGCGATTTTTGATGTAATCAAAGCTTGCTACAAGATCATTGTTGCAGTTGGATATTTCTTTCCCTGGTTGGTCAACCGTACAATGGTTTCAAAAGCTCTCCAATCGGCGTTCAGATTACAGATTCAGCTGGGCTTCCTGGTTTAAACAATGGAGTGACGTCAGAACTGGTTACTGATATGTGAGCCATTAGATACCAACAGGGGCATTGAAGGTCGTTGACCCATTTGACCCTAGCGGTGCTTGGTTAGGTCCCTAACTTGCGTGCCATGTGGTCACTGGCTTCTAGCTATGGATGTCGCTTCAGATGAAAAGCGGTAGGTTTTGTTTTAACTTTTAGTAAAACTTTATGTTATTGTAGCTTATATTTAAAGCTTTTTGTCTGGCAACCATACTTGATGTTATGTAATTTTGTAGCTTTTAGTACACAAAAGTGTCCTGCAGGTTGAATTTTGATACAGGTGTGTCGTTTGTTCATGTATCCGTTTACATGGGTTTACTTGTTACAAACATGGCCATTGAAACAGAGTGGTTGGTTTGTTACACACCTGGCAAGTATAAGTTAGACATTCGCTAGTTGCATGTTGCTTGTTGGGACTTGTTTTTGTGTTGGCGGATCGTGGAAAATCCCCCAGCAGTCTGTGGGCGTATTGTGACGTCATTGGTTGAAAAAAAAAAGGTTTTGTTCACCTCAGGTTGCTGACCTGCCCTTTCAATAGGTTGTTTACCAGTAGCAGGTTTATTCTTTTACGTCATACAAAGGTAATGTTTGAATCTGGTACAGCTACTGTGTAGTAATAGTATCTTGTTGTTGTTGTCCTTGTTTAATGTCTAATGTATTGCTAGACGTGGTCTCTTCTTGCTGGTTTGCACTTGGTTCAGTTCAGATTATATATAAATATTTGTATATTTTATATCTACATTACTCTGTCAGATTAGGACATTTGAATATGTATGAAGGTTATAGAAGAGAAGTTGAGCCTAAACATTCAAAATGTCAGTCTCAATTTGTATAGCTAATGTCATGTTATGGTTTCTGTGATTATTCTACAGCAAAAAGGTCAATATGTACACACTGGTTTCCGGTCTATTTGACAGGTTCATTAATCATTGTCTGGCTAATGAGACTAATTAGCAGTAGACCAGAAACGATGCATGATAATTGGTGGTTAGAAAGTCTGAGGAAAGAATTTCACCGAAGGTTGTTTAAAAAGAAATAAAAACATTCAAGACTATTTAAAGATATACCATGTGTAGATTTGTAATGTTTTGATCATGAAAAAATTTTTCACAATTAATTCAGCTTTCTTGCTTTGTTGCCTAAAGGTACAATAACTCTTGAAATGTCCCTGCAAAAATAAATGAATTTACTGTATATTAAACTTCACAGGTAAACAAATTTGTATTTATGAATTTGAAACATGAATGTTTTTGAGTCACCTGTGTATCAGAATTAGTTCGGAGGACAATCATTTCGATCTATAAGTTCCAAAATAGCTCGATCTTTTTTAAATCCCTCTACTCCAAATACTTAGGTCCTGATATTTCCCATTGTCGTCATGCAGTTGACCCAACGTCCCATCTTTCAATACTTGTAGCAATCTGGTACACAGCAGTTAGCCTGTGGCTATTACAGTTGACGTCATCGGACCATTGAGCACAATGCCGAGAGGGCTTTGGGTCACTTGTGTTATTGTACCACTTCTGTTTGTGTGTTAATCACTGTGTTATCACCACCCTTTTTCCGGTTTAAATTTGTTCTTGACGTCCGATTTTTTTTTCTTGGCCAAGGACATTTTAATGAAGTTCTGAAGGTCGTCATAAGTGGGACGTAAGAGTTGCTTCTGTGAAAAAGGGAGGGGGACATTTTGCTTGGGGGCCCGACTGTGCTGTAGCACTGGAGGTCAAGTATTTTTGCTCAAGGAGTCAGTTTGTGTATGGGCAGGGTTACTCAGGAAGGTATGAGTTATTCTTTTTTTTTGGTAGTTAAACAAAGGGAAACTGATGGAATTTTAGGATAGATATGGTATAAAGTTACCCATTAATTATTTTGTTTGATTTTACTTATGTTTATTGTCTTGTATAGCTTTGATACTAGACGTAGTCTAAGTCTTAGCATGGTGCTGCATAATATATTATTGCTCATAAAACAAAAGTTTGAACTGTTTTAGCCTGTACAATAAGCATTAAATTGGAATATGAATTATTTTTAGGTATTTTCAGGCATGTATTTTGTATTGCTTGAACAAGCAAAACAAGGTTGTGCATGTTATAGCTGTTTTGTCTGAGTTTGAAACGTTGCTAACAGGTGTCAACAGTCTGACCCCAATTCTTATGTTTATAAACAACTTCAATTATCGTGAACAGGGTCAATGACCTGGTCTAGTTTACAAGCAAGTCTGCCATTTAATGACCATAAATAAGTGAGTATTTGTGGTGTGAAAAACAGTAACTAACTTACTGTTGTGAGTGTTATGTATGAACATTGTCCAAAGCAGCTTTCTGTATACCAAGTCCTTTTATAAGGCTGTGTCCCTTTGAGAGTTTGACCTACCAGTCATGCATAGATCAAACAATACTATCGGCTTTCCTTTTGTTTCGTATCTTAAGAAACATCAGCGTTCTGTCTGAGGTCTTCTCAGAAGGTAATGTTGTTACCGCATAGTCAACAAAGGAGGTTGAGACAGTCAACAAAATGTTGTCACAAATTTATTCATGGAGACATAATAACACAGTTGACTTGTGGAAGAATTGACATAACAGGTACAGGTGACTATCACCTTTTCAAGTTGTCAAACCTGAGACCAGACTGTAAGGTTTCAACCAGGAAGGACCCCTGCTCTTTTTGATAAGTGTGGTGGGTTCTTTAACACGCTTGACTTGTGGCTCTCCTCTAACACTTGACCTGGCTTTATGTCCTATCTGAGAGGATGTCCCTAACTGATGCTAGGTGTACTCAATTTCACCTGAGTCGAGTGAGGATATCTGCCTAGTAAAGGCCCTTTTCCAAGGGCAGAAATCGTAAGAATTGAGTTGTAGAATGCTTAATGAATTCAAGTAGAAACTGTAAATCTTAAAATATTCACGGTATTTTAAGTTCTAGCAGCCACTTCTTTTCATATGTTTATTTTTGTGGTTTTCAAGGTGGCCATATCATCAAAATCATGACACCCCCACTACATGTATATGTTTCTACTGTATTTCTAAGGCCACACCAATTCGTTTTGTTGGTTCTCTGACATTTTTAGTTCAAAAGATAGCAAGCAGACATCATAAAATGGGAGAGCTAGGAAGAAAACTTGAATATGGCTTTATTTCCTACATAAAACTGAGTCCACAGAGGCATCAACCAGGTCCTCAGACTTTGCTTTCATTAGGTTTTTGCAGTTAACCATATTTAAAAGAAATCCGAGAACCAACAAATTAAATTGGTGTGGCCTAAGTATATTATGGAATTGTCAAAAACCTCATACTGTGAAATAAACTCCCTGTGAAAATAGATGAATTTACGGTACACTTTCCCAACACAATTACCACGACTCTGGCTACTGTATTTTATATACACGATATTGTCTGCTGTGATTACGTGTAAAGTGGACTTTGATCAGCGTATGAACTAGTTTAAACACAATTATCGACAGTCATGCCATGCACTCGCATTTACCACCGGCGCTCACATACATGTAATTCAGTAGGAATCCTTATCATATTATGCTACAAAATTAGTTTTATTCTTATAATATTTGTTGATATGCATGCATGTGTGTTCTATGTAACTATATCATTTCACATATGGTATCTGTATTATGGTGATTTTAGTGATATAATGTATCATTTTTAAGTTTGACATCGTTTGTAAAAAATGATGTGTCATGTTACCCCCATTGTGTAACTGTGTATACTTATTGATTAATACTAATAATAACATATCATTATGATATGCTGCTATTTTACTTTTTTGATGTAAAATTCACAATTCTAGCATTACTAAAAAACATGTTTCAACCTATTGTTCATATGTATAAGAAAGACAATGCTGTTCGTTCATTGAAGTACATTGTAGTGTAATTTATGGATAAAATGTACAGTATAGCTATGGTGAGTTATGGGGCCAATACTATACATTTGACCAACTTGGCAGCAAGCACAACCCTCGTCACACAGTGCTTATTTTCCTAGTCTCATGGTTTGTTTGTTCTTTTTTTTTTTCCGTGCAGAAAGAAACCCCGTCAGCATCTGGCTGGACCTTTACCACGTTCGACCCTCCATCAGGATCATTCGACAACATTTCCAAGCGGACCTGGAGTTGCTACGAACCGTTCTCCTGCGGTGAACAGACTTGGAGAGTACTGTGCAGTTGTTTCGCGGTAGCTAGCACCCTCCCCTGTGGTAGTTAGCAGCTAAAGTCTTCACACGTTCACGCTGGCATTCCTTCAACTTGAACCTGACCACGGTAGTTAGCAAAGTCGGATCAGACATCGCATCTCGACCGTTTGCAGAGTAGTTAGCAAAACTGGACTGGCAACATCTTTGTAACACTAAGAAAACTTTGTTGAACATTACTCAAGCAAGCAAGCCTGGACTTACACTGGCAACCCTTCTGCAATTGGGAAGATACACGCCTATACACTGGCTTGTTAGAGAAATAAGAGACACGCCAAACTCTTGGCTGACCTAGTACTACAATGGAGGGCCCAGAGCATCCAGGTAAGGGTTGTGTTTTTTAACACCGTACATTTTATTTTAAATCGGTCTATAAAAGAGATATTGTAACACAGTTCTTTATGCTGATTTGCTTATAATTCTTGTCCCATTTTGATAATCGTTACTGTACTTCTAAAATCTTTATTCTCATCATTTTGATATTGGTCTTAATGTTGTATCAAATATGTATGTACAAGGTGCAATGTATGTATACTGTATGGGAGTTTTGTTGTGTCTGAAGAATTCAAACAAGACAATTAATTTGATTTTCACTTCTGCATGTTGTGAGTGTAGTTACATATTAAATCTTTGATTTTCTGATATAATCTTTGTATTGAGTGATCTAAAATAGATTAGTTGTGTTTGCTGTTTCCCGACTGACCCTAGAAAAAAGAGCTTTTCCTAGCCTTTTTTTGGGCTGACCCCTGCAATGGACAAATATTTCAAGCTAGTCGACCATTTCTAGCTCTATGATCTAACACCTGAGTGATAAATCGGTTTTCCAACATTGACATTGAAAATAGAAGTGTCCTCATGCAAGTTTTACTTTGTTAAACTGTATAAGTTGGATCACAGGTTGAATCACTAGCCAAAGTCTCATAAAAAAAATAAGAAAAACTAGAGAGGCCGACATTTGCTTGGGAGCAAATACAGCATATTTCAGTCCATCTCCCTCCCACGCAAAAGTGGACTATTCCAAACTTACCCTAGTGTAAAACTGGCAAAGATTCTCAAATAAATGAATTATATAGTAGCTATGTAATTGAGAACAAAGATGCAAGAACAAGCACATTGAATCTCGAAAGCTTTACTAATCATATTACAGGTATGCAAATACTAACAAGGATTAGATTTCATACATTTTGAAGGTCTTAGGCACATAAAATTGAATGTGTGGGTCATTAGGCACGACTTACGTGCAATGTGACCTCAGGTAACCCGCAATGGAACACGTGTTCCATGGCCAACGGCAGATGGAACGGGTATTCTTTAGATAGAACATGGAACGGGTATAGCACTTTTGGCCCTTTTTTTTGCTGAAAATAGCCATTAAAGTCCCCCAAATGAGTCATTTGGAAGTGGTGTATGCCAAATATGTGACTGCTATTCTGTAGACACATGTTCAAGGTACCCTTATACCGAATTTCAGATTATTTGGTTGTAAAACCAGGGCTCAGGATCCAAAAATCCATTTTTTGGCGAAAAATGCCCCAAAAAACCTTCTTTAAAATTTTTCAAAGGCATGTATCAAAAAAATGAAAAAAACGCCTGGGGGTATTGGCCCACTCTACCTCCATGACAAATTTCAAGTCATTTGGCTGAATGATGGCGGAGTTGAATCCCTTTGACTGTTTGGCAGGAGGAGAAGGAGGAGAAGGAGAAGAAACATCAGAGAACACAATATATTTCATCCATACCATGGTATGGACTGAAATATAAAAAGAATGAAACAGGAAAGTTTAACACAACATTTTTTTTCTTAGGCCTTTAATGCATGTCTAATCATGATGTGTGCTGTACTAATGCCTGCATGTTTTCCCTCATTTGACCCCTCTCCCCCCTTCGAAGGGTCAAATGTTCGTTTTCTGGCTCCGGCAGGCGAGCCCGGGCCGCGGATCATTCCGGAGGGGATGGTGATCGACGGGCGCGAGCAACAAGTCACGGCCGGCGGGGAAGTCGAGGATAGGTCAGTTAGTTAGTTATTGTTATAGTGTGTAAGCGCTCGAAATACTTTTTTTCAGGTACGTGCAAAATTGCACATTGGCAAAAATTTTAGGTGACATTCTGCAATGTAGTAACACACTTAAAAAAGGATTTCTAACACATGATGGTTAGGATTGGAACTGGAAACTGATTGGACTAACCTTCTTGGCGAAAGTAAAGAAGTATTTCTACCACTAATATTCAAATGAAAGCTCATCTGTGTTGGTAGAATCCATAGTTGCAAAGTTTAAGCTTAGTTCCAATACATAAGGGAACTCACAATAAATTTTTGGTCGAGCTCGTCAACCTTCATCAGGTGTATGGTCCTTAAACTTTGAAACTGAAAGAGGTGCTAGCGTCAAGGAAATAAAAAGAGTATGCATGATGTGGAAGTCCCAACTACTAAGTACCTACATTAATTTTGTAATACCAGCCCAGAAGAGAACAAGAAATAGCCATGCCTTCAAGTACCAGAGTTATCAACCAAGGATTGAGATGTTCAAGAATTCATTCTTTCCTAGAAGTATCGCAGAGACTATACAGATACAGTTACAGATACAGAACTTTTTCTACTACTGCAGGCTGAACTACATCAAGCAGCAGCAGGCTCTACAGCGGGAACTCCTGCACCAACACTTCAGACAGCAAGAGGAGCAGCTCGCCCGGCAGCACCAGGCGGAACTGCAGCAACATCTGCACCTCCAGAAGGTAATACAAAACGTGTCAAATTCTGGAAAGTTTGGATGTTTAGAGATTTCAAAAAAATGTTTTTGGGTCAAAATTTTGATAACAGTTTGAAAAAAAACTCAAGCAACTGGATATGATTATGCAGCAAGTTTAAACTGTAATTTCCAACACAACAAAAATTGGACTCACCCAAATTTTTGACTGTACAACTCCAGTCTTTTTCAAGGAACGAGCAATCCACCGCCTCCGTGACTGGATATGATTTTGGAAACGGTCAGATGTTTCAGGTGGAATCCACTACCTTTCGTCAGTGACACTAGAGAGTTGTCAGAAAGGCAGGTTCATAATACAAACTATTAATTGATTATGCAAATAAGTGAGGACAAATTTTTTGAAAGTCCAAAAGGAGACAAGGAAAGAAGGACAATGCAAATTAGTCAAAGAGTGTTCTTCAAAGTTCAAAGAGGGAAATTCATGCTTTTAAAGACAATTTGTTATTTCAATATGAAATACACTAGGGATTTTCAAATTCTAGTTAAATCCTCTTAGTGACATGGAATGGGCTCAAAGTGATTTTGAGATTTCTTTTTCAAGATTTCATTATCTGAAATTTTAAGTTAAGATGAAATGGAAAATCTCTAACTTGTATTTAAACTTTCCAGAATTTGACACCAACATTTTGTTATTTCTAGAAGTCTAATCCATTCATTCAATATGTTCTTATTTGTGCAAGAATTAAACAAGAAAGTTCTTTTCTTACTTCATGACATCGTACCGTTTAAACATATTTTCTTTAACTTTGACAGAACTGCTATGGGTTGGGGCTTAAAGTAAGTTTTCATGCTGTTATTCTCTAGTAACTGTTGTGTTGCTCTGACTTTTACATCCATTTAGTAGAGTTCTTATTTTTGTGTTGGTCACTACATTGCTACATTCCCTTGTTTAGCTATTTTGATAACTATAAGTGAAAGAAGTGTGCATGTTAGTTGGAAGTAACAAATTTGATTTTGTCAGGTGTTTGAATCTCAGATTGTTTCTTTTTGTGAAAAACAATTGGAACATTTGGAACAATTCTTTAGTACAGTTACTGTACTCTAGTGTTGCATTCGCAGAAACCACAAAAACAAATTAAACCAGTTTCAAGTACATTGAATTATATATATTTTTTGAATATGCAAAGGTTTATTTTTTTTCTAAAGTGAATTTGGTACATGCACATATCTTTAGCTCTACTTAATAATATATTATTTTGCTGAGGCCATATTTTACTGACAATGTTCAAGGTACTCATTCTTGAAAAAAACTTGCTTTCTGTGTGCCGTGTTTCTGTGAAATGGTGGTTTCTTCCTCCTTACACTTATAAACTGGGTTTTCTTCAACATAGACCGGTCTCCTTCCTAGCCAGTCAGCCCATGGAATACCATATTGAAGATACCATATTTAGATGCGTAGTTTGACCAAACATGCTCTCTGAGTGACAACAAAATTCATTGTTCTAACACCATAATGAAAACTCACCCAATTTTTTCAGCTGTCTTCATGTTTCATCAGTTACTCACGAAGTGTGTCATACTGTAATTTCATTTACTTTCGCTGCCAGTTCCACATAAGTTGCTTTGGATGCCAGAAGTCCTTGCACTTGCTGGCCAACGAAAAGGAGTTTTTGCTATATTTTCTTTATTTATAATTATATGAGATGGTTGGTGGGTTGCTCTTAACAACTTGTGCCGTCAGAGTAAATTTTGGGTTGTGTTTTTCCGCCCCATGCAGCTGGAGTTGTTACGGCAACACTTTCGTCAGCAGGAGGAGGACCTGGCCAGACAGCACCAGAGCGAGCTACAGACACAGCTACATCTACAGAAGGTACGAAATATAGCTCACAATAGGTAGGGGAACAAAAAAGTATAGGTGTAGGACTGGTGTCAACTGTGACAAAACCAAGAAGTTGCACCTACAGAAGGTAGCTGTAATCTTACAACGGGTAGGAGAAAGGGAGACAAACCTGACGTAGAAGTAGACCTGATGTCAAACGTGAGATGATAAAGACATCATAAAGTACAATGTATAGGAAGAAAATGTAAACATGTATTAAAGACTACTTACTGTTCCAGTAACTGCAACAGTACTATGTGACGTGAAAAATCATATTTAGACTTTGTGGTTGGTAATATTACATGATGTCTAAAATCATCTTGTATTCTTGATTACTAGTTTAGATTTACGAAATGCATGACGTTTTGTGATGTAAACTTTATGTTGAAACTCAATGTGGACATTCTTTTTTTCTACAGCCAGAGAACATGTCACCTATGGGACTGAGGGTAAGTTCCCTTATTACATACAAAATAATACTAACTATCAATTGCATACATTTAATGGTTACGAAAGTAAATACACATTCACACGTTCAATCAAACTGAAGATCTAACAGTAATGATAATAACTGGTTCACTTCAGTTTTCAAAAATCAAATACAACAGTTTCCAAAATGATACTGTCTACTTCTATTTTAGATTGGACTGGTCTACTCTGGTGCATCTTATCATGTGGTAAGCCACACACTACACACATATATGTGCAAAGGTGGAGGCCCCTAACTCGTAAACAGTTCTAATGTCTTAATATACATGTCCAAACTTGTTTTGTTTATACTATCATGAAAGTTCATATGTGTTGGTAGTTACATGTTTTAAGTTAAAACTTTTGGTCCAACACAAAAAAGACCAGTCACTCTGGTCTTCCTCAGTAGACTGACCCAGTGAAGCTTGTCACGTGGCTTCTTTGAAGTGTGACGTCAACACTGCTTCACTGGGTCAGTCTACTTAGGAAGCTCTAGGTGAGAGAACCTTTTTGTGTTGGACCAGAAAAGTTCTAAATTTGAACTTGTTTTGTTTACGTCTTAGGGGCTCTCAACTTTGGCATACTACCCACAGCACACAGTTCATGAACATTACAAAACAGTACGTTGGCAGAACGTACTGTGCCTGTGCCAAACCCAGATTTTTCACGTTTTTTGTTGGATGTTTGGTTGACGTTGCATCAGAATTTTCCCTGTTGCAGAAGGTATCTTTTCTCACATAACATTTGAAAACTATAGACAGGATGTCCTCTTTCGATATGCCAATGTGATCTTAAATGAGACGTTCTGCCAAAGTGCCATGCACAGTAGATTACGGGTTTCGTGCAGGCACAGTACGTTCTGCCGACGTGCTATTCAAACCATGCTTATGGACCTATCACATTATTACGTCACAGTTTGTTTACCGCAATGAATGCTGGTCAATCAACGTTTATATTGTACAGGGGTGCGTAGCGCAGTGTGTGTTTGTGTAGCGTTAGCCTAAATATAAGGCTTTTAATACAGTACTACTTTCATCTAATGTCACAACTAAATCACCCATTACAGCATGTAATGCTGTGTCAACAAAATTAGACGCAGCAAAAATCAAACATACCTGACTTTGAAAACTTTGAAATGATCTTTATTCTTTAACTAACACTGGTCAATTTAAATTGGGAAAAACAGAGGCAATCGGGAATCATCAGAAATATCAAATTTCTGCCTACAAATTTGGTATCATCTGAAAGCTCTCTTCATCATGATAGTAGTTATGTAAAAATTATTAGTCAGTGATGTTCATAGGATTAGATATGTTTGATTGAAAATGCACTAGACCATGTGGTCTGTTGATAGCCCATCAATGGGCTGCAATTAAACCACTTGGCCTGTACAAACAACAATAGTGGCCTGCCACAACAACAATAGTGGTCTGCCACTGGCCCCCACTGGGCTTCACACCTCAAATCACCTAACCCAGCTGAACCAAGCTCAGGCCAGTGGCCTACAAATTTGAAGGAAAAGGTGTGAAAAATGTAAATCGACCAAGGTTCATAGGCCACTGGGCTAACGCTAGCTCACCATGGCCCAACCAGAACCTATTCACACTCTGCCAGTTGGTGTGAAATAGTCTGATTGAGCAATTATCATTCAAAATGGGATTGTTATCCCATTCAGGTAGGGGCCACTTAGTAGTTAGAACAGACTATAGGAAGTTAAATTTGTAGGGTGCAGGTAATTTTATGTTACTACACAGAAAAGACTAACTTTATACACAAAAAAAGGAGTTTTCAAGTCCTGCTAACTGTTTGCCTATCACCCACGATGTTCATTTTTTTATTCATGGATATCTATCTATCTATCTATCTATCTATCTATCTATATATATATATATATATATATATATATATATATATATATATATATATATATATATNTAGGTCTCATGAAGACCTACCCACCTACCAAGTTTCATTCCAATCCATCCACTGCTTCTCGAGTTATCTTGCTAAACCACACACACACACACACACACACACACACACACATACACACCCACCCACACACAGACAAACGCTACTGAAAACATAACCTTCTTGGCGAAGGTAAAAAAGGAGTTTTCAAGTCCTGCTAACTGTTTGCCTATCACCCACGATGTTCATTTTTTTATTCATGGATATATATATATATATTACTGATAGTCATGGAAAATTTGGAGGTCAGTATCTTTAATCTTCAAACATGTCACTGTTGGAAGAATCTTCTAGTAACCAAAACAGATCCCAAAATTACCTTCTCAAGAAGTTGACATAGCTGATTGATTCAGACATACGTTCATGGCATTTTTGTTTACTTTCCTCAAATGTCAGTGTGTTTGGGAATTTTGCCTACAAAAGTTGACTGACTATAAGACTGTCCGTGTAGATAATGGAATGGTCCACATTGTCTTAGGAAATTCACGCTAAGTGAATGGCATTCTGTCAGAAGATCTCTAGCTAAGGTGTTAGAGACTTTTGTTTTCATATCAAGCTTGTACTAACACTAAACAGTATTTTTGCTCAAATCTGCAGACCATTGCAAGAAAATTTTGCTGCTTTTGAGGAGAACTGCTGATTCAATTGACACAAAGCTGTAATTCAGCTTGTGTCCCGAGTGCTGACGATATTGTTGTTATTTGTCTGGCCAAGGAGATTTGAAATTCAAAATTTGACTTTAAACCTCCTTTTTGTGGCTTGCACATCAATCCCATAATGACTGCACTCGGAAAACTGGCTTTTGACTAAGATTATGCAAATACATTGGCTCAGGAATGATAATAGTATCATTGACACACAAATGATAATACAATAGTAGGTAGGTGAGTGACAAAAGGATGGTGGTCACGAATAATTAAAGGATTCGTAACACATTACTGATAATCCCATATACATGTAATGTATGTCCCATACCTCAGGCAAAGTATAATCTGTTCCTTCAATTTCAATGGTATTTAATGGAAATACTAGATACAATGTCATTTCCAGGGAAACCTTTTCTTGAAGTATTTAGAAGAGAGCTCAGTACACCTACTACCAAAAACCTTTCTTTCAGTCAGTTTTTGTTGACACAAAATGAATACACATCTGATAAGCCCATATCCATTGCCTTACAATGTATGCCATGGAGGTCCGTCTTTCAACTCCATGCTTATGCTGAGGTCACATTTCCAAACTGGGACCAGGCTGTTTCGATTAACGAAAAATCAACAAGAATATACACAAATAGTTCCCATTATTGATTTTTTTCAACTTTTTTTGCAATTGTGCTTTGTTGTCTTTTATATGATCATACTTTTTATTCCATAAGACTTCCTGGCCGGGACCCGGTTATGACATCAGCATAAGTTTACAAACTACCATCACAGTTAGCCATGATACAGTAGTACAAAAATCCTGAGGGTTATATGGGTTGTTGTTTTTCTATGGAGAAAAAAACCTATGGACACTTTTGCTGTCAGAAGTTATCAAATCAAATGCTGGTGCAAGGTTGGTGCAAAACAGTAGTATTAACTGCATTTTAGCAAACCAACTAAAGGTACTTGCAGGGTGAAGCAGTGCCAAGGGTTTTGTAGGTCCTGACAACACGGCTCGAAAGTTATAAGTACATGTACTGTGTGCATTCGGGGGGATACCTCTGTCTCCAAAAACAAAGTCAAACCTGATAGGTTATTGTCATAATGTAGATTAGTCTAATCAAGGTCCTTGGTCTAATCATTCAATATGCTATTTTATTACTGATTGTACCCTCTTTTATTTTATCAGTTTGTTTTTTTAGCAAGGAGGTATCATTTTGTTTTGAACACGGAGATTACATTATATCTTCACTTGTTTCGAACACCATACATCTGATGAGACCTCATGAAAGCCCCTAGCAGGCTGAGGGCAGCTGCAGCTAGCTCCTAAAATATTGGCCACATTCTGGTGTATACGACACCATCTCACACTCACTCTAGATATTAAATAGTAAGAAAAGGTTAGATCATATAGATAGAAAAAGACTTTTTTCTACCTCCATGATTAGATCATTGAATCATTTTAGAATTTTTCTAACCCCTTCAACAAAAATAGGTCACATGCTCTTCATCAACAGTACTAACAACAGTCACGCTGACTGGTCCTGGACCTTTTGGTGCAATCAGTTCGTAAGATGGAGCCTCAGTACGTGTTGTGGCCAACTTGTGGGTCTTTCTGCTTGCCCTTTGTGTTTCAAATACTATTCACCTATGCGCTAATAAAGGAGGTTTACTTGAATGTGATAACCAGCAAGCAACAACAGGGAAACAAATTATGGGCCATTGTTATTCAAGGTTTGTTTTAACAATGTCAAATTGTACAGCTCCTCTTCAGCTCTTTTTGTATGGTTTAATGCAAATGTGCCTGTTACATTGTTTTTATCAAATTGAATGAACCATGGACGTTCCACAAGAATGTCCTTGAATGAACAAAGTTTCATTTTTTTCTATGCAATGCATAATTTATACTACATGTAGGTAAAACAAAATGTTAGATTCATGGGTCCAGTATAGCCTTCGTAGCAGGCTAATAGAACTGGGGGTTTGGTGGTCTTCAGCTGTTTTCTGATTAGCCCAGTTAAACCAGGCCGACTGTATGTTGTCTATTTGCAAGGACATTATACATGTGTATAATGTCCTTGCTATATGCAATCAGAAAATAGCACATGAAAGCTCCCAAAGACCCTGAAGACCCCCCAAACCCACAGTTTTTGGCATGCTACATATCCGGAGGCTAGGTCCAACAAGGGAGGAGACTTTCGATCAATGACTGAATGAGAGTATTGCTAAGTTAGCCACTGTAAATGCTAACAGTTGACATTAGTCATTGTAGTGCAAAAGCAACTCAGCCAAGTTACTATGAAGGAGGTTACACTGTTCTATACCGGGGGTAATGGCCAAATTAGCCTCAAAACCACAAACAAATCCACAACTTAGGACTTAAAGCGTTAGCTAACATCAAAGCATTTTTCTGAAAACTCCCAATTCAAAGATACATTGAATTCTAAAAATTCCCAAAGACTACCAATGGTCTTTATTAAGTATGACCATGGAGTTAGGACTAGATCAGGGAATGGAACAAACTTGAGCCCAGTGCAGCGGAGGCGGGGTCTCTCGTCCCAGTTGAGCCACCCCATCATGTCTTGTATTATGTAAATATTTCTAACACACTAATGCATCTTTAGCACACATAAAATCAGTTGTTCATGTTCACTTCTTGATTATCCTTTTTTTTCCCTTCGTTTATATGTTATTATGTACCAGGTCACAATTGTTACTAACAATGTGCAACCTGCCAACAAGGAGGTTTAAAAGAAACCTCCTTGCTGCCAATAAACCTACATTGTAGGGCTAAGGCAGACATGAAGATGACTTCTAAAGAAGGTCAATTAATTTTTATACTTTTTCTATCTTAGTTGGCAGATGTTCTAAAGTCAAGCTTACAAACTAAAAAATAGTTAAACTGTGACCTGATAAAGTGAAATCGAATACTTCTCTCATTCCCTTTACTTCCACTTAATATAATATATACCTATTGTATATAATTTGTAAAGTGGATTTAGCAATCATTGTTTGGACCTGGTGAACTAGACTGGGCCTTACTTAGCCCAGTGGCCTCAGTGAAGGCCCATGGGCCATGCAAATGAGTCATTCTACTGGTAAAACTGTCAGACATGTGCTAATTACACTGACAAGCAAGGTGTGATAACTCATTATGCGAGTGTATTTTACAGTGTGGAATGGCCAATTATAACTCATTTGCACTGGGCTGGACCTATGCTAGGCCACGTGGTCTACGAAGGGGCCAGTATTGGCTGTTACTTGTTCATGTGGTCCAACCAATAGACCACTGAGTTGGGCAACTTTCAAAATGGAATATTTCCGTAACGTTACATGTTATGACCAAATTAAAGACATCATGATGCAAGGGAAATCATGCTCTTTCCAATGACATGTAAAAGTTAACTGTATCTTCAGTAGAAAAAAAGTTAGAAAATTGGATCACCAAGATGGCCGCCTTGAAATCGGGAAACTGAACTTCCCAATTTAAACTGACCAGTGTTAAATGCTTCTCATCCTAAATCATATAGAGAAAAATGAATATTATATTAATAAATATTATCTCATTGGTATAAAATGTGAAGCAGATGACTTAACATATTATCTAAGTTATTCAGAGCTGATTCATTACCTAGATGATAAAAAAAGTCATCTGCACTCTGAATTTTTTTTCCTTTCCATCTTTGGCAATGGCAATCAGGAGAAAAACTTTGTTGTCCAATGGGGATCAGTATTCAGCAAGGCACCGGTCACGATGGACACTTAGAAAATTTCTATCTGCACTTTCGGATGCACTCACTTTTCCCCGCACTTCAGAGGCTCTGACCGACCAATCATCTCCCACTGGTCAGTATCCAATATGAAGGGTAAGAACCCTCCTCGACCAGTGGTCACTCAGTCCGAGGGTTTTGAACAAGACTTGAACAGATTGCTCTTTGGCATTCAAGTCCTCTTAGCCGAAAAAAATAAATAAAAAAGAAACTTACAGCACACAGAGAAGTCACTTTTACAGGGTTTAGATTTCCAAATATTGGCAGGTTGCTGGGATCTGCACATGTATTGGAACAGATCATTTCCAGAGGATTACCGCAAAATATTCCTCATGTTCCCTTGCCTAGCCAGACGACACAAAATGAATATCAAGGACAAACATGAAACAAAATTTAGCCCCAAAGTGGACGTGCTGTCAAAGCTCGTTTAGGCAAGTTCATTTCAGCCACTTTTCTCCAAAGATGGTAAAAAAGATTTTTGATTGACCCTAATACTACTTCAGCTGGCCGCGGCAGATGGAAATTACGAGGGGTCCAGGTCTCAAGGCCCGCTCGGAATAGAGGTCACCGGGAACGAAATGACATATATTTTTGGAAAAAGAGGATAAGCCACTACAGAAACACACAAGGCTTTATCCATAACAAGATACAAACTAGCTCAAACAAACCCGATCCTTTATCATATATCCGTGTGACTGGCCAGGTGACATGTGAAAAAGTCTGGCATGGCGTGCCTACCCACCTACCCCCATTACACCGCCGTCTCTCCCCAGAAAGCTTTCAG